AACCTCTCACTGCCCTTGCACCTCTGGTCTCTACCCCAGTTCTGTATGCACAAATAAAATAAATTAAAAAAAAAAAGTTCAACAAGTAAATACAGTAAATGCATTTATAAGGCCAGAAATCATTTTAAAAAATAAAATCTTACTATATTTGTGCAGATGACAGCTTGGTGTCAGATTTTTTTTTCTTTTTTACCATATGCAAATTATACTCATGAATGTTGAAAAGTGTTGATCTTTATTTAAAGAAATTTTTTTACACTAAGTGGATGTTTCCTAGTTCTAGACTGAGAGGCATTTGGTCAAGATTCATGATAGATAATTCCTTTTTCATAGTAGTCTTGTGAAATGGGCATCGACACAGTGTAGTGATTCATGATATAAAGAAAATTGAATTCTTGACCAGTTTTGCCAGAAATACTAACCTATTTTATCTGTGAGTGAAATATGAATGAATGATCTATATCTACTACTTTTAAACTGTCAAAAGTTGATAAAATACTTTGCTATTTGATCAAATAAGATTAATTGGGTAATTATTAATCAAAATATTGGTTAATAAGACAACAATACTCTTAAAAAGTATTAGTAGTTACAGGACTATGATGTTACTTAAATTGTCTTATAAACAATTGTAAGAATCAACAAGTTAAGGAATATCTCCTAGCTTTGCTATTACCATGTGAAAGAGATTTAAGGTCCAGGAGTAACGAAATTTGAAAGACAAGTATTTGAGAGGAAGTAAACATAATAAAATTATTAATGTTGCTATTCTGTAATACAAAATTCTACAAGAATGTTTTCATTCTATCTTTAGGGTAGAGAGTAGCAAACTAATTTGTTCAAGTTCAAAGAGGGCTCAGTATGGACCGAACTTTAAAGCTTCAGTCTCAGTATCACAGTATTTCTGTTGTATTGACTTTATAGCCTTGCTTATTACTCGCTGTGAAGTTAGATTTATGGTTTCATCACTAAATTTCTATACTTGGACCACACTACCAGTATACTCATATAGTCTCATTTATTTTTCTGTATCTCCTAAGGACTATATACTTCACTAGAGCGAACAACTGTGGCAATTACCTCTGGATTTCTAGCATCCCACACACTCTATTGCAAGTTTCAGGTATCAGTAAAGAATGAATGCATTTTATAGTCACTTTTCTGAAGAACTCTAAAATGAGAAATGAAGAAAGGGAACAGGGAGTTTTAAGATCTGGTTTGAAAAAAAGGGAAATATTGGCTCTAATAGAAAGAGCTTCTCTTCAAATGCTGCTTGTGGGTTGGACTGTTGATCCACTGGAAGGGAAGTGTGTGTGTGTGTGTGTGTGTGTGTATGTGTACATATAAATAAGTATATGTATATGTAATTATAATTATATATACATAAACACACACACATATAAATAATATGTAATAATACTTGCTCTAAACTAGACCTCATTTATTCTATTCAGTTAATAAAATAACTTGCATCATTGAAATGACTGTTCTGTGAGCAGGGTAATTAGTGAATCTGTGTAGAAAGACTCACTATTTTGAGTTTTTTAATGTTCAAATACCTGGGCATTCTTTGGGTATTTAAATTAGAGAAAGGGAGGAGTTAGTTCTCTCCAAGTTTCTGGTTTGAGCAACTAGTTGGATCAAATCATTTACATAGCAAGAGTGTATTTGGGAAGAAGTTGAATGGGAAGTAAAGTAAAGTAAAGTAAAGTTGAATTATGGGTTTACTTTTATAATAAAATACAAAATTATGGAGGGCTTTTGGAAGGCCAAACAGAGATGTTAAGTCAGTGCCAAAGACAAGGAGCAGGGAAACCATGTAAGTTACTTGAACATTTTTGGAAGGCATCGTAGGGCAAATTCAATGTCAAAAATTTTAACTAGCTTGCACTTGATGTCCCTTCCCCCCCAAAATAGTTGTCACTGGGGTCCCAGTCTTGTATACTGCATTGGACATACAGACCTGTGGCTCAGAGAAGAGAACTCAGATATAGACCAGAATTTTAGACTCCTAAAAATATAGAATCTATAACTGAAGCAATGAAATCACACAGCAACAGAAAAGGGTCTCGGAGAGAGGGGAGCGGAAGAGAAATCTGCAAAACAGCCTGAGAATAATGGTTTTAAAGTGGAAGATTGATATAAGGGGAGCCACAGGAAAAAGTGTTTCAAGATCAAGAAAGTAGAGAATGGTGAAAATGCTTTTGAGACACCAAGTAGAGAATGAGAAACATCTGCTGGATTTAGCAATATACTAGTGATTGATTACCTCAGTGAGTGCTTCAGGAAAACTGTTAAAGGACACAAGCCAGACTACAATAGATTGAGGAGTGGGGGCTAAGGAATTGGAGATCCTTCAAAAGGTATTAGTCTTTCAAGACATTGATCTGTGTAGCTGACAATGAAGGTAAACTAAGAAACTCAGAGCTGACAGATTTCTTAAGACAAGAAATTTGAGCATGTTTAAATACCTATGGAAGGAGTCTAAAAGGAAAGACTGATGATTGTGATTCTTGAGGTGGCAGGTATGAAGTAAGGGATTCTCATATAAATCTTCCCTTTTATGTTCCAACCTGCCAGTATGGTTTGCATGGGAATTTGGAAGTATGATCAGAGAAACAGGAAGATCCTATTACAATCTTCTATAGTCTGAGATTTTTAGAGGCTTAATTCTTGCAGCCTGCTATTCTGAATACTGCTGTCCACAAAAGAAACCCTTCTGCTACTTGATTCTGTTTTATTTCATTGACACACTGTTCTGAACAAATTTGGCACATATATTAAGCAACTGCTTTAAGAATCAAATATTGGGATTTCCCTGGTGACGCAACAGGCTAAAGCTCAGCACAAAGAAGCTAAAGCCACTTTAGCATGAGTTCAATCCCCGCCCTGGAGGTGACTCACATGGCACAGCAGACCTCTCCTGACCTTCCTGCTGCTCCCTCAGCAGTGTACTTTGTCAGTCTGCCTGTTCTGCTCCCCACTCTGTCTCTGGTGAATCCTCTCACGGACCCTGCACCTCTGGCCTGTACCCTAGTTCTGAATGCATAAATAAATAAATCTTTAAGAAGCAAATCTTGAGCTACATCTTTGGCTAAAATTCTTGCCTTGACTATGTCTGTTCTCAGATAAGGACAGTTTAGGGATATAGTTTAGATATACTTATACTCCAGACCTTTAAAAGATTTGCTCAACTCATTAGCACTGGGGTATACCAGAAGTTGAGGTGTAAAGCTTCATAGAGAAGGGCAGAGGATAGAGATTTGTGACCAGGACTGCAGGAAATACTCAGGGAGGATGTCAGAAATCTGTGAGCCCCTGAAATGTCACTGAAAATCTACTTACAATGTTTATATTTTTTCTATGTTTTTTTAAAGAGGATCTATTGATTGCCTCAGATTCTTAAGGAGATATGTGATACCAACAGGGTCTGAATTGGAGATAAATGCACAAACCCATCATTTTGGAGGGATTTGATGTGTGTGGGTAGGGAGGAATCTCTTTCCTCCCCACTACTCTCCTCCACTTCACAGTCCCTTTCAGGCCATTAAAATGTAATGAAGAAAAATGATGACACAGAAAATGACCACAAGAACATGGAAATGCTTGTGACCTGACATCTAACTCAGAACCTCCCACGTGAACCCAAATACTCTGGTTTTCAGTTTTAAAGACATCATATTTCCTAGAATGAAGATATTAAAAAACAAAAACGAATCAAAATACCTCCAACATACTGGAGGTAGACATTTATCTTCAACATTACACTACAAATTTACTAGCTTGCTAAAGGAAACCACATTAATCCAGCTTTACTGAAAATGTTGTTGGCAAGTGTAATAAGAGGTAAATCTGTCAGTAAGGTGATGTTGCATTAAAACGCAAATCTGCTACTCTAGTTTTGGTAGAACAGCCCCAGAATTGGCAACTAATGATAACGTGTGGGAATAAATAGAACAAGTGTAGAAAACAGACATCAGAGTTTACCTTCTCCATCAAGCAATTTGGATTATGGCTTTAGGCATATATCATAACAAATATGTTAAGAAATATCTTGTATGGTACATATGTTTGCAATATTTGTGTGAAATTTTAATCCATATACTTTGCTAATAGAAATGCTAGAGTATATATGTGGCAGTATTGTGAGTAGGAAATGATAGTTAAAATAGCTTGAGGGTGGTCTTACATTTTATTTATAAGAATTACACATTTTATTAATGATTCTTTTTGGTTCCCACTTTCTGAACCCAATTGACAGCTGAAGAAGTGCATTTAGTTTTCAAATGGATGACAGATACCAAAGAGTGTCTGACTAAAACAGCGAGGAAGAAAGCATACACGCATATGGGATGTAGACTTTTGCTTAAATAGTACTCTTTCAGTTTCAAGATGCAAAACTTCCATCCATGCAGTGTATTCTATGTGTGGGCCAAATACACAAACATTTTAATTCAATCCTAGAAAATCTGAGATTTCTGAATTATCTTTATGTCTCCTTCTGGAGAGCAGAAAGATTTTTCTTGAAAATAACAGGCACATTTTACTAACTCAGAATCTGTCAATGATTTCAAATTGTGCTCTGGAAATACACATCCAGCAATAAAGTACTATCAGTGATAAAGTTATTCACTTAAATAGAGTCAAATAAAATCCCAGAATTCCCTTGTCATAAGGATGAAGCTCTGCCCCCAGGTATAAAGACCACGGCTAGAATTCCAGAAGTGATCTGGCCTCTGTTACCGCCACATGTGTATCATTAGCATGAAAAACCTGAAGAACTCAGAATATAGAATCTATTAACCAGTGATCCACTTGGCTCTTTTAATGTTTCTTAAGAAGCTTTAAAATATTTATTTACATGCCAAGTAAAGTTTTCTCTTCAGTGGTCACCAGAAAGTAAGTCTCTTCTACTTAAAACAAACAAACAAACAAACAAACAAAACACATTAAAAAATACAACACACAAAATGAATATTAAGGAAAAAAAAACAACTCACTTTTTCTTATAACTGCTTCTTCTTGTGATGTAAACAGTGTGAAAGAGAATATGCTGATTGTTCCTCTAGCACATATGTGTGCCAGTTCCAAAAGAAACAGAATGTGCCACCAGAGCTATCTGAGGGCTCCTCCCAAAGGCAGATTTTTTGACTTTGAGAGGAAAAGAGGCGGGTCAGTGGGCTTCCTCCACGCTGCGGACGTGACGGAGAGGCTGCTATTGCTCTGAATAAACACTCCTTGTCAATTTTTACTTAAATCACGAACAACAAATTCTCCCCAGGATATCCTTAAAGGGAAATCCTGTCTGGATTAGTATTTGAAATAACTGGAGATGCTCCAAAAGTTTAAAATACAGAATACACACTCACTAAGGGGATGCTAAAAAAAAAAAAAAAAAAAAAAAAAAAAAAAAAAAACTCTCTAAAAGGGTAACACATTTTCCCTTAAGCTGCTTTTCATTTGGTTTTGTTTGTTGGTGACTCTCAGAGACCATTAGGTTAGTAATGGTCAAACAGTAGAGTGTTTCTCTTCAACTCTCTGGAAAGAGATGAGGCTGCATGTTCTCACCTGACATGTTCTTGGTAACTTGAGAGATGAGTCCTGGGTGGTGATCTCTATCATTGCTTTCTTTGGGAAGTCTGGGAACTTTTTGAGCTTGGATTTGACTAGATTAACTCAAAGAAGTCACCTGCTTCCTGCACTTGCGTTACCTTCTGCCTACTTCCCTATGAGCTGGCAACAATTGTTATGTCATCTCCATGACTGTATGACTTCATTTAAGCAGACTCATTTGGTCTTTTGAAATTATCAATTCAAAACATGAAAGTAGCTAGAGAATTAGACCTGAAAAAATGTTTGGAAACTAAAGTAAAACACAACAGGAATTCTCAGTGAATCAAACATCCATAAATCCAATAAAATTGCTCCTAAAAAGCGCCACTTGAGGCCATTTCTTTTGGTTTGTAAGGTAGGTAAGAGAAAAAATGTTATATCTTAACTCTGTTATTCCCAGACCAAACATAGCTCCCCTTGTTCCTAAGTACTAAAGCAATTTGATGTTAATTTTTCTGTGGTCAAATTCAGATGAGTTTATAGAATCAAGAAACTTGAGTTAGAGAACTGCAAAGCCAATCAAATCTATGCTTTGTTATCGACTTGACTTTGATGATTAAGAGATTATGGAAATAAAAACAAGGTTAGAGAAACAAATTCAGTGAAAGTACACAAGGACATTCAATTAGCAATTGATTTTAATCTTCCATGACATCAATGCTAGATAGACATTATCCTTTTCCTTTTCTAGGGGAGGAAGCCGAGTGATGTAAAGTGGCTTATGTCTCCATCATTTGGGGCCATCACCCCCTTTTTCATGTTTGTGCTCCTGGAGAGTGTAATCAACCTTCACTGGTTCAATTTCTGGTTTTATGGCTCCCTACTAAACCTATCCCAATCTGCTTTCCACTTGAAGTACTCTGCCCCCCCCCCAAAGCTTCATTAAGATCACAAACAATCTTAATTAGTACCTCACAGTTCTTGTCTTTAATTTAACCTGAGCTCTCTCATCTCTGGCCATTCTGAAATCATATTGAAATGATCTTCTCCTTGGTTTTACTAAGATACATGCTTTTGATTTCTATCTTGATCTTTGTATCCCAAGCCTCCTCTTCACTTATTCATTCCCTCACACCACAGAGCTTCATCCTCAGATTGGTATGTTTTGTAAATTCTCCATGGGGTTATTTATCAAAGCAATTAACCATTATATGCTATGACTCCCAAAATCTCAAGTGTTCTCACCCACTAATATTCCAGACCTTTAACCTGCTTCCTATTGGCCATCTGGAAAAGGGAGCTTTGCTGCTTCTGCTTCAAATAGATTTGCCACACTTTGTTCCAAATTAGCTTATGCTGTGCATATGTCACTGTGTTTTCTCCTACTTTCAATGTGGCCACTGGCTCCCTGATTTCTGTGATCTGGGGAAGCCAAAAACATGTGGGTAAAGCAACAGATGTCCACTTCACTATTTCCAACTCTTGTGATTTCTACTTTGTTAAACCTCTCGATCTGCCACTGGGCTCTGGTCTTCATATCTCTTACTTGGGTTATTGGACCAGTCATAAACATTTACCTTGGTCTGGTTGATTACCTTCTATTCTTTCTGTATATCACAATAATGATTTTTTTTTAAAGTTTATTGACTTACGGAATACAGAAAATTAAACAATGCAGAAAATCTGTAACAAGAATTGAAAAAATATGTAACAAACATTTAAAATGACTTGCAACCCAAGAGACCCCAATCTGTAACCAAATCTATTCAGAATATTGCAGATGTACATATATAACTATACGTGTTTATGGGAATGTTTATATATTTAATTACAAACCATGACTACATTGTGCATAGTTCTAGATCCATTTTTACGTAATGCACATCATTGAGAAATACGTGATTTAGAAATCAATTACATTTTTTACTATTGTACTATTATGAAATTTGATATTACAATCCTTTTCCTTTTTCTCTCAGATCTCTTCACACCAAAGGTTCTTTTGAGCATTTATAATGTACGAATCACAAGGATTTAGAATTAGATGGAAAAGCAGGAAGGAGAAAAATGTAGAACACCCACTTTAAGGTAATTTACATTTATGAGATGTTATACAGCTACATTATCCTATACTAGAATGTGTCATGCCTTCAAACAATTATACAACCTAGAAATCTATATAGTAGAGCTAGGTTAATAACTACATTGTATGTGATTAAAGACAAACTTGTAGAATAATTTGATAGGTTTTTTTTTTCCCACTGATTAACAAAAAACTGAAAACCTTTGGGGTCTTTGTCTTAATGTGCAGTCAGGTTAAGGGTTTCTTTTTAGTAATCTAATATTTGAATGAAGAATATTTCAGAGTTAAGAGAAGTTTCTGTGCGAGACAGGTCCACCTACTTTCTCCAGGATATTCTTCTCAAAGACAAATCTATCCACTTATTTTCCTGGCTAACTTAATCTTTAAAGTTTCCCTTTGTTTTCAGGATAATGGCCCAACTTTTAAAATCAGTGTATATGTGTATCATTACACCCATATGGTCTCTCTAGCTTCTTACACTATTTCCATGGGCAGGTTTTGTATTTCTGATACTGTAGGGTCCCCTAAATGTCTTACTACTGCCTATTAATGTTTTAATACATCTGTCCCTCTCCCCAGAAATACCCATTTTTCCTTCCCATATTTTCATCAGGGCTTAGTTCAGGTCATCTCTAGCCTATGTAATTCCACTCCTGCTATGCAAGACAGTTTGAATTTCATTTTTCCTTCTATAATATCCTCAGCTAACTTCTCTCAAAACCCTATACTGAACTTTAATTGATTCTTGTATCTCCTTGCGATGAAAGCTTTGTTTTAAGTGTTAAATTCCTATTCTTATTGCCTAGCTATCATTAAAAATCCGGGGAATTGTTGAGTCAGGAGTTTACCACTGAAGAGACCCAGAAGTCTAATTAGAGGCAAGCCTGGTAAAATAACTAATAAAACACAGCCTGGGAACTTCCAAAAATTAATATATATTGAAAGGACCTATGACTTTGTTTTTCTGAAAGTATATAAGTCATGGTTTCTGAAAGTATGTAAGTCATGGTTTCTGAAAGTATGTAAGTCATGGTTTCTGAAAGTATGTAAGTCATGGTTTCTTTCTCCATTGTTTTAGAAGTCTCTTATGGCTTTATTTATTTAATAATTGTTTACCTAGTATAACTTTCAAAGTAGATATATCTGTGTGAATCTAGACAATTTTAATATGCATTTTAGTAATGCTATCAGATTTCAGTGGAAAGTGTTCATCCAGAATACTTAGCTCATCATACATATGCTGGGGTAAAGGCGTCATTGGTCTTAAAGAAGCAAACCTTTTGCTGTCTGTACCTTCTACTTGACTTACATAAGTTACATCTTGATTGAAAAAAAGTCCCACTTGCCCCTGGGTTCAGTGGCATTTCTGAAGAAGGAATGAGTTATTTCTTCTCAATCTGTAAATGACACTATACTTTAGATCACTATTGTACTTGGACATTATCTTGGTGCTTTACGATCTAATAAAATTACTCTCTTCATAAAGATCAAGTTGGCTCTTCATGGTAAACAATTTCCACATTTATTATCTTCATTAACCATTAGTATCTTCTCTGAAAATACACTGTTTTTGTATTCACTTGGATCATCAAATTCACTTCTGATGATCAGACTGGTTTTCACTGATTTTTCAAAAACATGATTTGGAGATTGAATGCTTAAGTAGTTCCATTATATTTGCAACAGTAGGAAGTGGCAAATGAGAGCATAACTGCATAGTTGAAATCTAGCTAACTGAAACTATTTACTAAGGTGAAATGGCCCACAAATAATAAACTTGCAAGAAATGAAAGATGCTAAAGATTGTAACTACTTCTGTGTAAGCAAAGCAAAATAAAAATCTGAAAAATTTAAAACAATTATATTTAACATGTGCATCATATAATTCTAGTAGTAGTTAAATAATGAAAACTTCAGGGTACCAACAATTTAATGGAGACAACAGGCAACTTTATTTTAAATGTTCTTAAACCTTCCCATTAAGATCATGGTAGAGAAATATTTAACAATCTTAGCTTTGTTAATGAAACTACTTTCCATATAAAATTATCTATACTATTTTTATTAACAAAAACAATAAAAAAGGACCTTTTTGTGCAAAAATGAGAATTAATTTGATAAATGAAGAAAAGTCAATGTAGACAAAGACCGAAAGTTTTATTTGCATCAATGTCAATTCTATATTGATTTATTTTCACAAATTAAGTCAGATGATTTTGTTTGCTTCACTGTCTGTGATGTAATTTGACATAACGTGGATTACTCTGGTATATGCAGAAGCATAAATGATAAGGTTCATAAAGACAAATAAATTAGATTGGATATTCAACATTTTGGAAACTGAGAAAACAAAATAATTAGAATTTGCAAATATATTTGTCATTTTTTTCCTTTGCCCATATAAAAATATATTTATAGAACACTACCAATGAAAACATTTTAAAATTTAATGTTATATTCCTATCAACTTTAATAATAAATGTTTAGTTAGCAATTAACTTCTTTCACTCAGTATTAGTACTTCACCAAGAACAGAGGATTTAGAATGACCTTTATATTCACAAATTTTAAGTCTGAAATGCCATATATATAATTATATAAAATATCATTTTAAAATATCTGATATTAAATTTGCTATTCAAAATATTTAAATTCCCTTTTTTAATAAATAACAAACTGTTGCTTAAAACTCATTTGGTTGAAGTAATTAAGGAGCTATTTTACTCCATTTTAACTACTAATTTTTTTTTTTTTTTTTTTAAAGATTTTATTTTATTTGTACATGCAGAACTGGGGTACAGGCCAGAGGCTCAGGGGCGGTGAGAGGCTTCACTAGAGACAGAGTGGGGAGCAGAACAGGCAGATCGATGAAGTACACTGCTGAGGGGAGCAGCGGGCGGGTCAGGAGAGGTCTGCCGCGCCATGCGGTCACCTCCAGGGCAGGCGGGTATCGAACTCATGCGGAAGTGGCTTTAGCTTCTCAGTGCTGTGCTTTAACCCGCTGCGCCACCAGGGAGGGCCTTAACTACTAATTTTTAGAACAAGGAAACCTATGTTTTATAAGGGGTTTCTTTCATTTTTGGAAAAAAAAGTTCCAACAATTCAGACATACTTATGGATTCCCCTACAACAAAGTAATAGGCGTTAGGATCATTAGTTGTATAAAACAATAAATTCAGAAATACAAGCTGGATTAAAGAAAAATACTTGAATTTAAGTATTAGCATCTTATTTTGGAACAAAGTATAGCAATGCACGGCCTTCTGGTGTTCTGTACCTGTAAAGATATATCAAAAATGCCCAAGCATATAAAAGTTTTTCAGTGGGAGAAATGGAACGCCCTCTAAATGTCAGAAATGAGGTCAAGGGTTTAGTATTAAGAAACACATTTTAGCTTTGCAGCATTCTCTATTAATTATAAAATAAAATATCCCACTTTCAATTTTGACATCAAAGGGGTATCTTTTTTTATAAAACATGACATTTTAAATTTCTGCCTAATGTATTTAAATATCATTAGAATCTATTAACACAATGAATGAGTCCTTTACTAGAGATAAAAGGCATCAGAAAATTTATTCTGCATTACAGTATCTAGAGAGAAGTAAACTTAAAAAGTATAATTTTTATAATTATAATGTGAAAAAGAAACCTCCCATGGAGAACCCAATTTACAAAAATTTACATTTATATAAGATTTACAATGAATACAGCACTATTGTTTTAACTGAACTGTGTATGGGGGGAAGGGCATATTGGGATGAGGTCAGGGAGTTATGAATACTGTTTTGTAAGTATTCATCTTTAATTTGGGGAAAATGCTTACTATATGAAAAAAGTAAACTAAATCATTACTCTTCTGTCACAGATGATTTCCTGGATTTGAGAACAAGGTCTTTGATGGATGAAGAAAGTTCTTGGAGCTCTTTTCGGGTAGTATTGATATCATCTTCTTGTTCTTTGTCTAATTTATCTTTCAAGGGGTCATCTCCCTGCCCAATCTTCTTATTTTGATTAACTAATTGTTTTACAACCAAACCTTGATACTTTACCAAAAGAGTATGCTGATCCTGTGAAAAGAGAAAAGAGAAGTTAACAAGCTCATGATTTGACTTTCTGTGGAACTAAGCAAAATTTATTCAATTTATACACACTGATGGTCTTCCTCATTACAAAACATTAACTATATAAGTGTAAGATTGAATCTAACAAGGTCCTTGATTCCACACAGTTCACAGTTCAGGGAAGATAAAGTATGATCACAGATCATTCCACTGTAAGTCGATTTGGCTAAGTTCCATCACCAAAGATAATGTGAAAGTAATATAGAAGCTCAGCGAAGACAAAGTGTGCATGATAACATTTTTTGAGCTGGTTTTTGATGGGGCAGGTTAAATCTCCATAAGCAGACTGGACTTGACTGCAACATTTTCAAAAGCGTAATTTCTAAATTTACATTATTCTTTACCATAGATCTGGTAGGATCCTGAAAGATTCTTGAGCTTTACTCATTTACTGCTGCCATTCTTGGAGGCAGGAAGATGATACTATTATGTTTTGTGTTTTAAGAGTCCACAGTGATTCACATCTATTCACTCAAAATATTAAGAATCAAAAAGCTTTAAAACTTCCAAATGTATTGAAAATGTAATACCTCTGGAATTTTGCTATTAAGAAAAGCAATGATCTGTGGGACACATCTTCCAGGTGCATGGAGCATGCTGTGGGTTGAGAACTGAAATAATAGGACTGACGTGAGATGCAGAATAAGAGCAGGGTCTTCTGTGACTTTCAGCTGTTCAGACAGTGCTTGTCTATGCTGGAACAGTAGTTGCCTAAATACAAGTAAAAAAAAAAAAGTTATATTTTAGTGAATTTTTTACCAATTATAATTTTCATTAAGTTCTTCCATTCTATAATTAACTGTTGGCCTCTGCAAATGGTATGGATAAACAAATGTGCTAGAAAATCATAGAAACAGCTAGGTATCCAGGTCAATCAAAGTATATTTATTTTTGAGTTGTTGATTCAATAGAAATGCACTGGTGTAAACAAGTTTTCTTGTAAAGTAGATCTCAAAGCTAAGAAAAAGTTCCAAGGCTTGATCAGCTAAAGGTTTAAGGAACTTGATCAAGATGGGCCAGAGAAGGATATCTAAGACTGAATATGCTTAAAGTTCTACAGCCATTTAGGAATATTAGTCTCTCTACAACATTCAGTGAAATTACAATTTCAGATAAGAACTATCCCACACTGAATTAACAATATAGAACAATTCATGTTACCTTTCCCTTTTTTTGTCTCCTCTTTTCATCATAATATCACAAGCTTCTGCTGCAGAATCCAGACAAGAAAGAAAGTCTTCTATGCTCTGAAAGTATATTTAATGCCATGACTTTTATACATAGTTTGCCTAAAGAAATACAGCCATTTAACATTGTTTTAAATTTGACACCCTAAATACAATTTTTAAAAAGGTCATTTTGTTATTAAATTCAAAAATGTTATTAAGCACTAGGTAAAATGTCCTCAACTTGGTCTTCCCTTCACTTCCCACAGAAGAGTTAAGTGCAGAGTACTAGTTTTAGATATAGTTTACAATTATTCTGAAAAAAAAAAAAAAAATCTACTTAAGGAGCTTTAGAAACTATAGCTCCATTATCTAAATAGAATAAAATTTTACTTACCTTTTCATTCAAAGAGCTATGGAGTTTTGTGAGAGTTACTTTAGTTTCTTCTGATAATTTACTTAAAATTTTTTTTCTTACCTGCAAAGGAAGAAAAATCCCTTTTGCATTGTTCCTCTGGCATGTGGTGGATATAAGATCATATAAAACAAAAGTATCTTTACACTGTAACAGAATGCTGAGTGGAATTTATCTTTGCTCTTGAATTTTAGATCTTACACCTAAGATAAAAATATACTAAAATTCTAAAATCTGAAAGCAAAGTAATATTCAATTAGCCAGAGAAAGTAGATGAAATCCTACCTATTTCTCCCATTTGCTCCAAAGAACATGAGTGAGGAAAGGAAGTGAGGGAAAGAATAAGAATGAATTTGGGGTTAAGGCTACTCTGTCTCTTTTGTAGCAGGAGGAAGAGTGACAGGTAAGGGAGGCCATACTCATGAACATTAAGGTTACCTATAATTTAGGAACCCGGGATCTTATTTCATGGATGTGCGTTTCTTATGCTGTGTGATGTATGAAATCTTCTTAGCACCCTTCTTTAGTTGTGTCTTGTAAAGTCTGACTGCATTCTTGACCTGTGTGTTAGGGCTCCTTCAATTGTAAAATTTCTGGAATTTTGCAGTCTGACTGGAATTCCTACTACAATCAATCAGAGGCCCAGCAGTGTGTCTGGGAAAACAGTGCAGCCTCCTCCCTCCTGCCACTTCCTATACTTATCCTTCTGTGGTCCTTGAAGGGGATAGGACAGAATACTGAGTATTCTCACCACAGAGGTTGGTATAGGGGCAGGATACATGGAATTGCTCATATATCCAGGGAACTGAGAGGCCAATGCCTTCTGGGATAGGAGAGGGAAATAAATATATCCTCTAGAGGTTAAGAGGGAGTGACATGATGTTAAAAAAAAAAATCTCCAAAAACACCTACCCCACCTATGTGACAACAACCACATCATTAGAGGCTACTAGCTTTATATTGATTTGGTTTGTCCAGATCGAAACCAGTGACATGAGTATGTCATATGAAGACAGTTTTGTGTCTATCTGAGGAGTTGAGTTCCAGGGAAAGACAACACATTGCTTCCCAGCTCAATCTTATATTGCAAGAAGGAGAGCCATGTGTTTTCAAACAGTTTAAGATTAGAATTGTAAAAAACTAACTGGGATGAATTTAATACTGAAATGAGATTATGTCACTCAATGAAAATGACTTCAAAGTTATGGTAGCTGGCTAGAATGTTGTTAAGGAACTTGCAACTCACAGGAAAAGTGATATAAATTAAGAAAAAATAAAGAAAAAATAAAGTTGTTGATTTCAAAAACAATTAAGCACCCTATTTTTTAAAAAACTAGTTACACTACCAAGTCTGCTAGTTATTATGTAAACACACTGTACTAAATTTGAACTAAAAATTGTGTAAATTTTTTCCCTAAAACCTCTTTTCTGTGTTTTATTTTCTATTCAGACTACTTCAGATGTCAGATAATCAAACAATTAAGATTTTGAAACAAAACAAGAGTGTGAAGAAAATCACAACGTACTTCACTTGTAATTGTTGCAGGATCTTCTACTGCCATCATTAAATCCGAAGCCAAGAAGTTGAAAATGAGATTAGTGATATCAGTACACACTGTCTTCAGCAAGTGCTTGGTAAGAGCAGTCTGTGTATCATCTGGAAAATAACAGTGTTTGGTCAAAATGCATGTCCAAGGGAAATGATAACCAATGAAAAAATTGTATTAAATATACCTGTAAAAAACTTCATCCCTTTTTCAAATAACCGAATATTATTGTATAGGTTTGAAACCTCCTCTTGTAAGTCCTTAATTGTGCGTTTTCTGCCAGTTCCAGAGGCAGAGGAGGTTGAAGACATGAATACTGAGCGTATCACCTCAAGGTAAGTCTTATTAAGAGGTCTGTGTGCAAGAGAAATATATTTAGATTATTAAAATGTACTCAATTTATGCCCATAAATGTACTGAATTTGTGTCCAAACTGTCTTCAGGGAAACGAGACTTAAGAAAAGTTCTCCATTTTCTTAAATAAAATTAATTTGGAGAATAGTTCCCAGATTTTGCCTCTAATTCTAGGAATTATAACTTAAATGTATTATTTTTTCCACTTAACGAACTTACAGGTTATTGCACTAGTGATGAGGCAACAATAAAAAGCTTCACTCCAATTCAATTCAAAGCAGCTTTTTAAAGTTATTTTGGAGAAGAGCAGAAGCTATGACTCTATTTCCCATTCTCAGAAATAATAAGTTAAATTTTTTATTTCTAAAGTGCCATAAAAGTAATGTTTTTTTAATAGAATTTTAAAAAGCAATACAAATGACTATCAATAACAATTTCATCATTTCTTTTTCATGTATGTCATGTAGTTGTGTACCAAATACATTCTTAAAAATATTTCACAAACCTTATTTCTAAATGCACTGGGTTCCTAAATCACATTTATAGAATCTTACACATTGGGACAAACTTAAGAAAGATCATGTTAGTTAGTAGTAGTCAAGTTACATACAACTTCTTTTACTTTTGTATTAAAAGAAATTTAGTTTGTTAAATTTATTCTCTTTGAAGGTAGTTATTTTCTCCCTAAAAGTATACTGTTAACTGTCAAATCCATATAGAAAATGATCTTCTTTTTAGATGCTACTTTTCATGCTGTGGAAGGCACCAGCAGTGATTAATATCTAGGGCTGTAAGATCAATGAATCAGGACATCGCCGCATTCTTGTCTTTTAATTCCCTCACTTCCTCATCCAAAGCACTTAACTGCTGAATTAGAAAGCACTGCAGACAAACATTAGTTGGGATTTTGAGGGGGCTAGATGAAATTTAAGATTTCAAAATACCTAAAGTATGTTTTCTATGAAGTAGGTGAAATTTCATTTAATAATTTATTAAATTTCTATCATAAAACAGAAAAATATATTTTAATACTTGCTTTATCAAATACTCAGCAAGTTCAGAAATCAACTCCTCAGGAGCATCTTGTATGCGTTTTCTTAAAAAATCTTCAATCTCATCCTGGAACATAAAAGTGATCTCTGGTTTCTTTTTTCCTATAACAGAGATAAGCAGTGTGAAAAACAATTAAGTAATTTACAAGCACAGAAAGACCATTAACATACTAAGAAGTCGCTTACCATAAATACTGATAATTAATTATTATGTCAACAGTATTGGCAATGTCAAATAGCCATAGCAATTGTTATTTGAAAACAATTTTAAACATTGGATATGAAGTAATGTTCTTTTGAGTGAAAATTTTCCTTCTATTTCATAAATCAAAAATAATACAGGTGATT